TCATTAAGAGCTCACAGGCTTCCGTGTGTCTGCTCCGCCACCCTCGCATGTTGGCAAGGTCTTCCGTCCTGGTGTCCAAATGGCTGCAAGCAGTCAGGCATTCTCCTCATTTAACTGGGAGTCAAAGGCCAGACAATGGAGTGAGGATGCTTCCCCTTCTTTGTTAGAGGTGAGGAGACATTTTAAGAAATTCCCTAAGACATTGTTTCATACTCCCTGCTAATGAAGGTCATAGGCCCATTCCCAGCTCTCAGCAGTAAGAATGACCACGAACTTTGAACTGAGAGACGGCTGTCCCTTGAAGGTGTCTCCCATTTACCAAAAAATGTTTCTATGAAGGACGGCACAGGAAAAGAATTGTTTGAACAATAGTTCTGGTCGCATTAGAATAATGTGATTTTTTTTTTTTTTTTAAGAACTAGTATGGCCGGGCGTGGTGGCTCACGCTTGTAATCCTACACGTGTTTATTGTATCGTCTTTGGAGGCGAGGCGGGCAGATTGCTCAAGGTCAGGAGTTTCGAAACCAGCCTGGAGCGAGACCCGTCTTACCAAATCAGAATAAATAATTGACCAATAAAATATATATACAAAAAATAGCCCGGGCATCGGTGGCGGCATGCCTGTAGTCCAGCTACTCGGGAGGCTGAGGCAGTAGATCGCTGAGCCGGAGACTGAGGTTTGCTGTGAGCCAGGCTGACGCCACGGCACTACTCTAGCCTGGCAACAAAGTGGACTCCTGTCTCAAAAAAAAAAAAGTAACTATATGTTGTTTTAAAAGCATATAATAAATTTATACTCTTTTGATTCATTTTTAGTCATTTTGACATCTTAAACATTTAAGCATTGGGTGAAATTTATGTTCTCTAAAAAGTGCAGATGCTAGCCCAGTACATTCAGAACATGTTTACACATTCTTAAAATTTTTTTTTTTTTTTTTTTTTTGAGACATGGTCTTGCTCCGTTGCTCAGGCTGGAGTGCAGTGCTGTGATCTTAGCTCCCTGTGGCTCCAACTCCTGGGCCTTGAGTGATCTCCTGCTGCCTCCCAAAAGTGCTGGTTACAGGAGTGAGCCACTTGCACCTGACAAACTTTCCATTATTAAGGCGGGCGGCGGTGGCTCACGCCTGTAATCTAGCATCTGGGAGGCCTGGAGGCGGGCGG